GAGCCCGGGTTGTGAGGTTAGTCCGTTGCCCGTATTTGTGGGGACTTTCCTTTTAATAGAGTTCCGTGAGTCGTGGCCAGACTGGGTGTGCTACCCTTAAAGTTCATTGTTTTGGGATAGTTGAAAGGGAGGTGAAAAGATAAGTGGATGGATTGAGTGGATTCATGGGATCCTGCCAGTTACATAGATTTTTTCGGAAATCCTCGCTTTGTTTATCTGTGGCAATGTCTTTTGGAAATTTGATTTGCTCTCCACTGTGTTCCTTTTCAGCAACTAATACTTGTATTATTCAACAATGAAGCTAATCATCAGCTCCTTTCTGCTGATCTTTCGCGGCTGAATGACTCAGCATTATCTGCGGGTGATAGAGTGTTATTTTTGAATTGTTCTAGTCAATCGGATAAAGTTGCATGTCTCTCTCAAAGAGGTGAGTCTTCAATCTTCTTTTAGGTTCATTTTTGATATGAGTGAATACTTTAGTGACATGCTTTTAGAGCAGTACATGCGTGATTCCACTTTCTGTGTTCTGCTCAATTCATTAGAATTTACTCGTAATTTTTGGGAATCTTTGCGAAACGGATGTATTCCTGTCATTCTTTCCATGACTGTTCGCCTGCCCTTTCAAGGTATTTTTTAAATGATGTTTTTCAAGGTTGCTTTGAACTTCTGATTGAATATTGCGACCTTTCAAACCAATTCAATGAATTTTGATGGCTCCTTTTATCTTCATCATGGTTATTATGTTTAGACGGTATTGATTGGAATCTTGCCTCTATACGTGTTGCCATGAGCCGATTTCCTGAACTTCATTTTATTGTTCGCTCGTTTGAAATGTCGGAAGTGTTGGAAATGCGGCGAATGGGCCGTTTTTTCTTTGAACGTTATTTAGGAGATACACGAGGTAGGTGTGGAATGCAAATGAATACCTCCGACTTTTTACCAGATGGTGCTGTGATGAAATCACGTTAAATATAGGATCAGTAGGAATTTGACGCTGTTTTTGTTCCATTCAAAGACATTTTTCGAAAATCTATGTGATTTCTTTAGTTGTTATCAAAACTTTATTGGCATCTTTACGTGAGAGACTGGGCCTTCCTTCTCCAGCAGAAAATGTTGTAACTGTGAGTTATTCACAATTATTTGAAGTAGTTGTTTATTCCAATTTTTTCTTGACAAGTGAGAAGAGGATGAAGCATAAGCCCTTATTCAAACTGTGGTTTCGGTGTTAACTGGTGCTTTCAACTCTATTCAGCTTCTTGAGTATTTGTTGTCTCTTACAGGCCAATCCGTTTTCAAAATCAGTTTGTTCTCCACACTCACCTCTCAAAGGGCCTGCCTCAATTACCGGGGGTATTGGTCGGGTTTTGATTCAAACCTTCAACCAGTACATTGTAGTCAAGTCCGCTCTTAAATGGCTAAAATGTGAAGTCTTAGGCCGTTTTTCAAGCCCGTCTGAGCCGCCTGAGGGGTGCGCCCACGCCTTCAACTCCCATTCAGAATCGTAGACACGTATTGAATCGCATGTGGCCTATACAATGACTTGCAGTGGCCAGCCGATATACAAGCTAGTGCTTATATCCTCCCAGGCAAGTCTGATACCAATTGGCCGACCCCGTAGGGATGGAAGGCTTGGTTGGCCTAGGTGGATGTCGATCCGGGATTGTAAACCAATGAATGATAAAATATACTACTAAATTCCTGAATTTCAAATTCTTAGGCAGTTCCTCTATTCAACGACTCTTTCACTGCACCAATTTTGACGCCAATAAATGTTCAACCTTTCGATGACGAATATTTAGGTAGTATGTTTTGATTTTTGTTATCATCTCTCTTTTCTGACATGGATACTTATCCACACATACATTTGCAGGTCCTTTGGAAGCGGCTATCGACTCACCCACTTATCTTCACAATTTTTCTTCCATTCACATGGTAAGAATCTAGATTATTATTGCAGAAGTTCTGTTATCCTCAGTTAGCCTTGCTATTCCAGTACTCATATCGAGCTTGGAATAAGTTTGGAATATCTGGTAAATCACCCGAGTTCCTGGTACATTCTGCGGACCCGCCAGCAGAATCCGAGTTCTACCCTGATACCAACGTAGGTGAGTACTTTTTGTTTCTTTATTTTAATGTGATGGGTGATAGAAACCAGTTCGTAGGCGATTCTGGTGGTATGTCACGGTGGTGTAAATATCTGTACTAACGTCACTGCACCTACAAGGTTTGTTAGCATTGCTGGGTTTAGGAGCTTAGAAATTTACATGATGCAGGCCGACTCTGGAGGGCAAAATGTTTATTCGAGGGCGAGGAAGTGTGCAGTGTGGAGGAGACGCGGAA